CCAACCCAAAGCATTCTATGATTCTATGATTTTCAGTGCCTCGCTAGGCTGTGTTGGCAGGCTGCTCCACTCTTTTTTTTTAAGGCCATTTTGTTGGAATAAGGGAAGTGGTGTGATTCTCCCCATGCTGGTGCTGAGGTGAGGTGGGAGAGAACCACGATGACTTCAGTGGTGTCACCCTGTCCTTGCACAAGGAGGCTAATACAAAGCACTCACTTGAGGTTTCGTTGTGTAGCTGAGAGCCTGGTTAGTGCCTATGTGGCTGGTGCCCACCACTGAGAGGGGGTCTGTGCACAAATGTCAGGCCCAGGAAGCATGTGAATGGATGGGGTGGTGCAGTATTGACAGGAGCACCCCAGACCACTCTGCCAATTTGGATAAGAAGACAAGCTGCTTTCTGGCTGCTGTCCCTTCCCTCCAGCCCCTCCCAACAAAAAGCCCTCAGGTGTAAGGATGAAGGTGGCACCACTGCCTTTTACCAGATCTGGATGTGTGCATAAAAGAAATTCAAGGCATCAGCAACCTAGAGAGGCAGGATCTGCTGTCTGGGAGCAAACTACTCTTGCATTCCCTTGTAGACCCTTGTATCACCACACCTGAAAAAGACCTCTCCCAGCCAAGCCCAAACTGACAAACCTGGCTAACATGCAATTGCTTCCAACTTCCAGCTCTGCTCCTGCATCTGTTGCTGCTTCTAACCCCTGTGGCTATCCTTTCACATTGCACAGAGGTGACCCCTTGCACATAATTAGCAAAGTGGTACGAATACATTAATCAAAGCTATCCAAACCGGGATTCTTGCTGAAACAGCCTATTCCTCATCAAATCTGTGACAGAATGTGAGCACCAGACTATACAATGCTCTGCAAGTAGCAGCTGCATCCATTAATTACTCTAGATTTGTTAATAGTTTGTCCTTCGGGGGAGGATTTTGCTGGGAGAGATCACTGATAGCCCCCTGCCAAGCTCTCCTGGACAAGAGGGCCAGGTTTTTCTGGTATGTGCAATGAGCTGGGTTTTCTCTTGTTGGAATTCCATGATGGCTTTGTGTTTGTGTTGACTGGGTTTGTCTCATCATCAACCTGAGCTGTGCAAATTCCCTGCCCATGGTGGGGGAGTTGGACTAGATGATATTTGTAATCCCTTCCAACCCAAACCATTCTGTGATTCTATGAAATTCCTCAGTTTTGGGGGGTGGGGATGTTCTCTGACAGGTTATTAGTGCTATACAATGAAGCGCACATAAAGGTTTTAGCAAAAGTAGAAATAAAACTCACCACCTCGCAAAACATAGCAGCAAGGCCAGTGCAAATGGAGACTCTGTGACTCCATGCATGGCTTGACCACCTGCAAAGAAGGGGATGTTTGGAGGAAATGTGCATTAAAATCCTGCTGGAATCCTCCCTTTGGGAAATCCCTGGCCATCAGGTCATGTCACAGCTTGCCCTATTTTTGATTTGGAAGGAGTTGCATCCTGGTGCCCAACTCTTCCTATAACCCACCAGCACTACTCACTGCCCCACTGCCCACTCACTGCCTGAACACCAGACCCTACGAGATACACAGCACCACTGTGACTGATGTGTAATGAGCTCAGGTAATAGTGATTGACACATAAAATGAGCTGGGAGCTTCATTAAGTTTGGAGTTGGTATAACAAGGTTCTCCCAGGGCAGGGAGAAGGGGCTATTAGGGGAAACCACTCCATTGTGTTTTAGAAACACTTGCCCCAAACTGGAGATTGGATTATTAATTTAACCAAGGGAGCTAAACCAAGCAAAATACTCAAAATCATCCTGATTCACCCTAAATACCCACCTAATTTGGTCTAGTTAATATTCTTTTCCAAACACAACTCAAATCTTCCCTGTAGTACAGGCTGGGGAACATAGACCTTACTAGCAGTTTCTGGAGCTGTTGCAGAGTCACCTTGCAGTGAACATGCCCCTGGCTTGGTTTTTGCACTACATGGGTCTCTGGTCCTACACCCCAGGGAGGAGGAGAGGCTCAGCCTGACATGAGGAAGCACAACAGAGGGTTGGCATGACCATGCTGCGATGCATGGGGACAGGGAAGCCCAAGCCATTCCTCAGGAGCATCCCTGGGCAAATGCATCACCCCAAGCTGCAATACAGAGACATTTGATGGCCTAGAAGGGGCCGTTTGCTCTCATGAGCAGATCTTCTTCACATCTCTGCATAGAGCAGTTGGGATTGCCAGTCAAACAGGGAGGTTTTAGCAGGAGAAATTAAATTATGGCACTTTTCCTCCCTGGGTAGAGGCATATGGAGCAGGTTGCCAGAATCCAGCCATTGCAAGCTTGCCAGCTCTGCCCTGTCCCTCTCCTGCCGCAACGCTCAACCACCTCTGGCCCTGCTCCCTCCTCCAGCCCCGGCTGTCACGGGAGGTTCCTGGGGACACGGCTGGAGGGGAAAGGCACTGTTATCCTTTCATTTCCTGAGCCCGCTCCGCTGCGGTTTTGCAGGGAGCAGAGACGAGGAAGCGCTCGCCGACGCTCAGCAGCCAGTTCAAGCGGTCCCTGGAGCTGTTGATGAGGACTCTCAGCGTGTGTCAGCCGTTTTTTGTCCGCTGCATCAAGCCCAATGAGTACAAGAAGCCCATGGTAAGTCCGGCTTTTCTCTTCTGATTGCTTTTCGTACAGGACTGCCCACAGGGTCACTCTGCCCTGGAGCTAATGGCAAAACTCCTTCAGGCATCAGTGGAGTCAGGATTGAGGCTGGGTGCTTAGAAAGCCAACCCACAGGCTGTTCTGCAAGCAAGAGAGTCACCAAAGGGCTGACAAAATCAGGCACTTGCTTTGCAATCCAACAGCACCCCAAAACTTTTTGCAGAGGGGAGCTCCTCCCCCTGCCTTTCTTTCCAAGACAACCTCAAGGAATTCACCCTTCATCCCTTTCTCCTATAAGAAATGTCTCTGAATTTCCATAGGGTGTAGGCGCCTCCCTACCAGAGACTTAGGCTGAGCTTTAGGGCCCTGGGTTTAGTCCTATGGCAGGGTTCAATGTTTCCTTAAAAGTGATTCCCCTTTGCACGGGTGGTTTCTACAAAACCTTTGCTCCCAAGGGATCTCGCTCAGTTTCATCCCTGTTTGATCCTTTCAACTGCTTTCTTTTTTTCACCAATTGGGAAAGCATGATTCTCAAAGCACAGAACAAAGAGGCAAAATAGCACAGAGGAAAGGTGAGAGGAATTATTTTGCTCTGATTCCCAGGCACTTGCTTCAAAAGCAATGAACACTTTGGGGACAAACTTTAAGGAGCAAATGAAAGGGAAGGAGATGGCTATAAATCCCCCTGACCACAAACTGCTCACGGAGGGGACTCCGAGTTTTGCAGCGAAAGGTAGATGATAAGGCGGGTGCTGAATGCCCCGATCCCACTGTCAGCACCTTGCAGGATTGGACCCTGGTGCTGTTAGCAACCACTGTTAGCTGCTCACCACTCTTAATAGTGATACTGCTTGGGGAGGAAAAGCTCTATTTAATAATAATTTCAATTATTTGTTTCTGTGAAATCATTTTGCCCATGCCTTTGCACTTCAGTAGAGGTTAATCGAGCCAGAGCTGGAGCTTTATCTAAAGCCAGTGTCTGTTAGCAAAGCTCAGCTGAGTGCAAAAAAGCATAAAATACTGATTTTCAGAGCTGTTACATAGAAGCAGTGTTTGTTTGAAACTTATTTTTGCTGTTCAGTGAACCTAATATGATGGAGGGCAAAAGGTTTGGTGGCTCTCCCCGAGCAGTTTACTGTGCCCTTATCCTGGTTTTGGTGAGCATAAAAAGGCACCTAATAGCATGTTAATGGAATTCATTGGGTTAATATTTAACAGCATGTCTGATCTGAGATTATCGTCTGAGCTGAGATCAAAACAAGACCTTCTTTAAGAACATGGGTGATGTTGCAAAATAGATGTACATCCTGAACTGTTGTTAACAAATTATTCCCAATGCCCTGACTTTGAGCTACTTTTACACCTGGGTGTCTGGGATTGGTCTGGGATTTTGTGTCCTGCGTAGGACATCTGTATTTCAACAGCTCTTGCAAGCGCTAAGCTGGAAGTCTCTGTCCAACCCATTTATCTACAAAACTTTCAATGGGACCTAAAAACAGCTATAAGTTTGAAAGAATCGGACAAAGAGAAATTAATCTCCCCATTAAAGTAATGAGCGGATGAGCTAACAATGAATCAGAGACTATAGTGCTATATGATATGAAATGTGATTTCTTGCTAAATTTATTTTGGCCTTTGTTTAATAATACAAAGGGGAAAAAAAATCCCAGATAATGGTACACAGAACTGTACAGGGTGACTGCAAAAAAGAACATTTTCTGGGAGTTCATTTTCTGTCCCTGGCTTTGAAGGAAAGTGTGCTGATAGTGATAGGAAATGGGATAGTGGGAAGTGAAAGGTCAGTGGAAAGTCCTGACTGTTTGTTACTTTTTGTTATTTTAAAACTTTTGCTTCCTTTGAAAATGTGCTTTGGGGGAAAAAAACTTGTTTGTATCGGGATGCTGGCTGGAGTTCTCCAGGTCTGTACATCGTCCCACGCTGCTGTTTCCGAGCATTGCTCTGTTGGTCTGCTTTAGGCCGGGAGAAATGCGTAGGATGAATTAGGTAACAAAGCATGCAAAGAAAGTCAAAACTCTCTCCAGCAGTCTGTGCCTCATCAGGCCCTGCTGCCAGGAGCATGCAGTTGCCCATATGTGCAATGAACTAGCCCTACAAACTCTGGAGGGTTATTTGCAAGCCCACAACCGCTCACATACCCTTCTGCTTCATGGCAGGGGGAGGCAGAGGAATACACACCTCTTTCCTCTGTGCCTTTTTTGTCCCCAATACCCACTTTAGATAGGGACAGCTTGAGACCAAATCTGGATGAGGCTACTTTCTGCCTTTTCCTTGCTCATCCATTGTCTTCTCTTGGGATCAGGATCTGTCTCCAGCCCTTTCATGGTTAAGTGGCTGCTACGAGCTAGTCAAAAAGCTCCCTCCAGGGATGGGGAAATGGTTGCATCCATAGGGCAGATCCTCCTGTCCCAGGAGATGCATCTGAGATACAGGGATATCTGAGACACAGGCACATACCTATCTCTCCTCACTCCCTTCGGGGAGAGCCTAGGTGACTCACATTTTAGATGCTCACATCTGTACATGCGCAGATGCTCACATTTTAGACAGCTGAAGGGAGAGCAGATGAATAACACCTTGGCAGTAACACTCTGACCTAGGCTGGGATTTGCTGTCCCGACTTTGTGATGTGCCAGCATCACACCGTGTCTGCCTTTATTTTACACTTGGGTTGAACACTTTTTGGAAGCTCCCAGTAGACAACATCAGGCTGCAAGATGCTGTTCTCTGGGGCTCCAGGATCCTTCTCAATGAACTAAAGCATGGCAGAGATTTTTCTGAACCTCGCTTTGCTTCAGCAGAGCTGCTCATCTAGCAGCACCACTCATTATCCACCCTCAGGCACCCGAAGCGAGGGAGAGCAGCCAGGTTTATTAGCAAACATCTGCAAGGACTGGGTTGCCTATGTCTGTTGTCTGACCTTGAAACTGTCTGTTGCTTGTCAGAAGCAGCTATGGGTGCTGGTCTGAGATTTGTCCTTTCCCTAAAACCCTCAGTCTGACCTGTTCATTTTAAGCTCCTCAGGTGTCCTCCTGGGTTCAGGGTGGTTTGATGCTAACTGGCTTATCTCAGGGCCTCGGCATCTCCAAGGCTGCACTCTTCTTTTGTGTGACTTCAGGGTGCCACCTACCCTAAGATCAACTCGTGTAGGCACCCTGAGACCTTTGAGTATCTTGAGCCTTCAATGGCATGGTCCTCTGCTTCCTCTGCCTGCAAAACGGTACTGCCCTGCCCATACAGGAGTGCTGTGATCATGCCGGTAAAGCTCAGAACAGCAGTCAGAAATTAATGACCATGAGTGGTCATTGCAAGGGTGACTGTATGGTTTGACCCTTGGAGATGCAACATCACTGCCCATTTTCCCAAGGTGATCTTCACTGTTGCATTGTGCTCTCCAGTTCCCCTCTCAGTCCTTTTGTAATGTGTAGGACACATCCAGTCTTGCAAGTGGGAATTAAAGAAATGGAGTGAGTCAAACACACTCAGCAGTTCATAGGAGCAGGCCCATGACAGCCAGCAGTCCTACAGCCTTGGGTCCACAAAATTAAGGATTTGGGTGGATGCCTGGCTTGCTTGCCCCACACATCTTCAGAGTCTCCACTCTCCTATGGCCAATCCAGGCCAAGATGTGCAATCAAACCACTGTGTCCCGTAACCTCCCCAGCTGTTTGACCGGGAGCTGTGTGTCCGTCAGCTGAGGTACTCAGGGATGATGGAGACCATCCGGATCCGCCGAGCTGGCTACCCTATCCGCTACACATTTGTGGAGTTCGTGGACCGGTACCGGGTGCTCATGCCTGGGGTGAAGCCAGCATACAAGCAGGTGAGCATCTTCTTCCACGGATAACAATTGCTCTCTGCTGGGCTGTCCAGAGATATTTATGGGGTGTGCATCCTCTCCAAAAGCAATTATACAACGTTTCATCCCCAGATGTTACAGTGGTGCTCTGGGCTTTCCAAATGAAGGAAAAATGGTTATGGGGTGGCAGGGACAAGTAGCCATATTCAGCCTGTCCCTCTCACTCACCTTAAATGGTGACAGTAAAGCCCTGAAAACCTCATCAGCAGAAAACTGCTGGAATTGGAACTAGAAAGTCTCCACTGGACTTGGGAGGAGCGATGGGTGAGGTTGGTCCTGGTGAATCGCACCCCCTCTCCTACCAGGGTGACCTGCGTGGGACGTGCCAGCGCATTGCCGAAGCAGTGCTCGGGAAAGATGATGACTGGCAGATCGGCAAGACAAAGATATTCCTGAAGGTAGGTGGTTCTCCACATCCCCCCTGCCATCTGGGACCCTTGCCTGTGAAGGGGTCTCCTACCAGTCCCTTTCCATCAGAAGAGGTGACCCTTTCCCATGGTCACTGCGCTGGTGTGGCGGTGGGTAGACCGTGGGCCGAGGCAGGATATTTGGGGCCGGTTTAGGAAGCGGCAGGCAGGAGGAAGTGCTGACACTCTGCCAGCACTGACGCATGCACATACACATAAGGACGCAGAATTAGTCACATACAGCGCACGGCCTTTTCACTCCTGGGCTGAGCCGCTCAACCTCATCGCCTGCCTTCACTCAAAAAGCACAGCGCAGGAGGAATGTTCATGCAGAGCCCTGCAGAGAGAGGGACCAAGAGCGCAACAGGCTCGCTTCGCTTTCAGTGCATCCTTGCGCAACCCAAGACGTGTCTACAGCCTTCCTTTCTGCACCAGTCCAGGTGACACAGAGCAGCCCAACGTTGCAGGTCCTCTTCAGCCCTGTTCACACTCATCTCTCCTTACAAAGCCATTCCTGTGTTGCTCTGGGAAGATAAGGCTGAGCTGGCCAGGAACCAGGCTGGAAGCAAAGGCTTCTCTCAAGCAAAAATCTCAGTGGTAAACCCTGACAGCTTATATCTAGATTCACCCCCAACCCCATCACCAGTGTGAAGACCCCCATCTCTTCCCTAGAAGCTGTTCCCACTAGTCGCTCTTTCCAGAGCCTGTTATCAAGACCTTACAGCTGTCAGGGCAGGAAATGGAGAAATTGGGAGGCCCCGAGGGGCTGTGTGAGGTCAAGCAAAGCAGGAAACGTGTGGAGCTGCCTCTGCTGCACCCAGCACAGCAGGACTCAGCGTGCTGCAACTGGGAAAGCAAGCAGAGTTAGAAACAGCATGCAAGGAATCACTAGAAAGCTTGGACTGGTGCATCTGAAAGCCTCAGGACAAGGAAATCCAGTGTTTCAGGGAGCTGTTTTGTCCTTAGGAGGCATTGCAGCCTTGGCTAGAGGGAGCGATGGGACCCAGACAGCCTGGAGTTTGTTCTCAAAACTCCAGTATCCCCGGGAACTGCTCCCATGGCTGACAGCACTAGCAGGGAGCTCTGCATGGAAGGGCAACATAATTTGGTTGTTTTCAGACTATAAAGTGTTGCATATGCAGCTTCTGGATGCTCTGGTTCATTTGGGAATAAAGGCAGTAGATCACTAGGGTTTATGTTAGGATTTCCCCAGTGAGTAGGTGGGTAATACTTGCAATGTAAAATGTCCCAAGAGTTTATTTTGGACATCTCCTCTGGGGAAGGGCCTCGTACCACCCCTTCTGCCACATGTCAGGCAGACGGAGAGCTTGAGACATGGGTGCTGTGTCACTTCCTCCCACAGGACCACCATGACATGCTGCTGGAGATTGAGAGGGACAAGGCCATCACGGACAAAGTCATCCTTATCCAGAAGGTGGTCCGTGGGTTTAAAGACAGGTAGGTGTCAGCCCCACTGCCAAATGGGAGGTGGACTATATGCGATGCTTCACCCAGCAAGCGGCTCCTGGGTGATGCATCACCTAGTGCTCATCTGACCTGTCCTACCTGCAGCTGGGGAGAAGGGAGCCCTGAAGTGTTGACACTCAGGTGCAGCAACTATTAGAGGAAAACAGTAGAGGAAACAAGAGGAAAACTGTATTATCTGCCTCAAACATGGACAGAATAGGACCTTCTGTCCCTGTTCAGTGCTATCTTCAGGGGGGCTGATGTTTGCTATGACAATGCAGCAGTGGGACTCTGAGCCTGCTGAAGGCAACGCTAAGCCTGCAGTCTATGGGGATCCCCACAAGTTGCAATGGGACCACTGGGTCTTCCACTGTGACTGATGTTGCTCTCCCCAAAGCCCAAGGGCTTCAGGACTCTTCCCTTTGCAACCCAGTTGCCAGACCTGGGAGGAGGGCAGGTGGCCCGTGGGGAGCTCATAGCACAGTTGTGGAAGAGGGGGAGCCACAGCCAAGGATAAGCTTCACCCACGGAGGAGGGACAGTTCTTGGGTCTTTGTGCACTTTGACTGTCCAAGCCATGGCTGTGACTCGTGTTGTGCCTTAGGCTTTGCAGAAAGGGCACATGCTAAATAACTCAGCAATCTTTCCCACAGTAATCCTAGTGAGACCTCCAAGCCCTTCCAACACAGTTGTCTCTGAGGTGTCTACAGATAGAATCAGGCTAAGAAGGATGGGAGGAGCAGATGGGGGTAGCAGGATAGTGTTGCTGAAGTTTGCTCTTGATCATTTGAGTGAGATTGAATCCGTTCTCAGGTGCTGGGGTTGAAGTGGAGAGACCAGGCAGGGAACAGATTTCAGATGCAAGAGGAGGGTGCAGGATGGGGAGAAGGAGGGGACCATTCTCAGCAACTCCTGCTATGCCCGTTCCCATAACGGGGCAGAATCTGCCTGCAGAGACCTATCAGAAAGAACCCCTACAGATCTTTTTATGAAAGCAAGGAGAGCTGGGGGAAGAGACTTTTTCAGGCCAAAAATGCAGTGTTTGCTCCACCTGGCTGCTCAGTTTCAAATCTCCAAAGAATGAGGCCCAGGAGATGATGATAACTTGTGGCCAAACCACAGAGGCAAGTGATTGAAATGACTTTGCAGGTCCAATTTCCTGAAAATGAGAAATTCAGTGCTGATGATTCAGAGATACTGGCGTGGACATAACTGCAGGAAGAACTACGGTGCTGTAAGTACCAGGGTTCTTCCTCACACCTCTGCCTTCCTATTTCTTTCAACTGGGACATACGTAAGAGTTTCCTGGTTCGAAATACCCCACTGAGTGGAGGAGGAGGTGGGGTTGGCTTTTATCAGTTGGAGCAATGAATGGAGGTTTGCTCTGGCTGCTTTGCTTTCTCATTGAAGAGAGCACCTGACCACCTTCTAGCTGTCCTTTTCCCTGTGAGTTAGACGTCCATTGCACCAGCTGGTCACCTGGATTTTTAACAGTCTTCCCCTAGTTTCCAGGTGACTGAAAACTCAAGAGCAGCTTCCTCCGAAAAACAGACTCCATCTCCAGGTGGGACCGTATCTGGGTTTTTCCCCAACCCAGTCCATGGCCCTCTTCTCCCCCTGTCCCAGCTGGCTCTGACCCAACAGCGGGTCATTTGGGAAGTGTGTTGGGGTCTAAAGTGTCTCAATATCATCCTCAAAGCCTGCAACTTGATAAGAATAGCCACTTTTGGGCTGGTCAGGATGCTGTCTCCTGCCATGAAACAGCACCTTGGCTGTCAGGTAGGTCTGCACATGCTCGACCTCCATGGGAGCAACTCTCATGGCTTGTGGCTACCATGAGATGACCAGATGACCTCCTGAGGCCTCTCAAGTGCAGAAACTCTGTAGGACTCAGTGGGGAAGAAACTGTCTTTGTCCTTCCTGGGCTTTGAATCAGTGCAGCAGCCAGAGGGCTTCATTTCTCCACCCTCTTGGAGAACCTCCCTCTCAAAGGCTTGTCCTGGTGGGGGCTGATTTCAGTGGCTCTTATTTACAGCCATGCAAGAAGGAGATTAGCAATGGAAATCTGCTTATGGTGGGCGAGCCTCTGGGTAGCGGAGTGGTTTCATTCTGCTCCCTCTTGCAGATGCGGATCGGCTTCCTGAGACTGCAGGCCCTTTACCGATCCCGCAAGCTCCACAAGCAGTACCACATGGCTCGCCGGCGGATCATCGAGTTTCAGGCACGATGCCGGGGCTATCTGGTCCGTAGGGCTTTCCGCCACCGCCTCTGGGCAGTCCTCACCATCCAGGCATATGCCCGGGGCATGATCGCCCGAAGGCTATATAAGCGCCTACGGGGGGAAGTAAGTACCATGGAGAAGAGGTTGGTCCTGGGAAATGGAGGTGGGGAGAGGGGAAATAAACATCTTTACTTCTGCATCACGTGCTCGTGGGATCAGTTTTTAAAGAGCAAAAAAGAGTTTAAAAAATAAGTAGGTGCCTATTCAGAAGCGCTCTTGTGTTTATTGCCCCAGTATCATCGACGCCTGGAAGCAGAGAAACTTCGGCTGGCAGAAGAGGAACGACTCCGAAAGGAGATGAGTGCCAAGAAAGCCAAAGAGGAAGCAGAAAAGAAGCACCAAGTATGTGGGGACTGATCGCTTTCTGGGGTTCTGTCTCTGTTTTCCAGGGACTGGTTTTGCTCCTTTGAGGGTGAATGCCAAAAATATCTAAGGGATTTCTGCCCTGCTTGAGCGGTTTGTATTTAATTCACTAAAGTACTCTGTGCTCTAACTAGTTTGAAGCTGCTCCAGAATTTCTGATCT